GAAGCTGCAATTTCTTCTTTTATCTCAACTTGCTCTTCAAAAGCTCTTCAAATCGCAAAAAAAATGACAATATTAATGCAAAAAAATCCCCATCATGCCTGCAAAACACTCTTTATTCTGTCAAAGGCTCAAAATTCAAGTAAACCAGGTTTCTTGTGTGACCATTATTCTGCATTCTGATACAGGGTTAATATTTACACTAGATAATTATATGCCACATGTGGACCAGATATTTTTCTTATTCAGTAGGAGGTTGAGGCTGGGGCAAAACAGACCAGATAACACAGAATCAGAAGTCACCTGAGAATTTTCCAGAACTGATCTCAGAAAGTCACACCAAGTTGCAAAAACTTCCACATTTTCATCAGAACTCATTTTCATGACAGAAACAAACCCAGATGATGTTCTTTCAATTTGATGGCTTCACATCCATGCAATTTTGAACATTCAGAATGTTTACACAAATACCATCACATTCCTTCTTTCCCCTTTTTCTTCTTGTGGATTTACAGTTAAGCAGAATTAATAAAGCAAGTGGAAGTCTTGGTAATGGAAGATATTTGTTTTCACAACTGACTTTCAAAATGGTAAGTAGAAAATCACCCTCTTTAACTTTTCCTGTTATTGTATATTGAACAGACACAAATATGAAACCACACAGAAACATTTATTCTCCCAAAATTAGCATTATTACTTTATTTGGTGATTCATTACAATCTGCAAATCCAATAGTCAAAAAAATAAACTAGGCATAATGTTAAAGCATTTTACAAGCAAAATACTTTACTGTTTCCTTTTCAATTTGCATAGGGTGGGATAAGTGTATTGGTTAAAGAATATAATGTACAGAAGAACAAAACCATAGTTCATCAAACTGTACTGCGGAGTGTTATGATCCTGTGAGTGAACAGTACTTAAACAGCTATAACTGTCAATGGAAAACCATACACTTCAATATTAACAAGGCTGCCTTCCCACGGCCATGATGCGGCACCAAGGCTGCAAGCCACTGGGCTTCTTTTCTTACATTGTAGATCATCCTACTTTAAAGAAATTAAAGAGTTAAACAAGCCAGAATGCATCTATCTATGCTCATTTCTTTTCTACCAGAAGAAAGTCCAGAATGGAGAGAGGGAATTTTTAAAGTCAGCTTCTGAAATCACTTATAGTGACGCTTGTCTCTCCCATTTTCAGTGTCATGGAGCTAGTAAGCTTAGAGCTTCATTCACACATCTCTATTATTACTGTGCATCCAGGTAAAACACTATTTTTTCACTGTGTATCAACAAACTGCAAAGAGATCGTGTTCATTGCCCATTGTAACCATATCTCTGTTCCTCCAATTGTATAAATCTGGCTTTAACATCTCACAAAACTAAAAAATAGTTGATCTAGGTTGTAATAAAAAAAGAATATTAAATACCTTTGGTAAAAATAGATATATTTAACAAGTTTAGAAAAGCAAATAGTTATATTGTCAAAAGGAGAGTATAAAAATGTACACAATAAAAAATAACAAACAAACAAAAAATCATCAGCCATTGTAGTAAGAATAAAGGCGCTGTTCTTTTCAATGTTTGCTTCCTTTGCTCACGTTATTGTCCAGTCTTCTTTCTAAACGGCAGGAGCTTTACTAGAGCATATGGAAAAATTCAGTCCTTCCTACTAGCATATAGACAAAATAAGTTTAATTCAGATCAAGACAGTCTGTTTTAACCCAAGTTTATACAACAGAGAACGCTTCAATTTAGAGTACATAGGAGTAGCTGAACACAGAAGGAAAGATTTCAGGTGTTTTCAACCAGAGGCCAGATGTACTGGAGTTGTAGAAATGAGACAGCCAGCAGGATCAAGTCTCCATGATGTGAGCCTTCTAACTTTACTTTTACTCCTAAATTATAAATCCATGTTGTCAAGAAAATTGTGGGGGACAAAAACAATACATATATTTTAAATCCCTCATTGATGCCTCTCTCCCATCCTTTCACTGGGCCTCCAGACAGAGCTGTGACACAACATATAATCCCAGTTTGGCTTCTCCTCTTTTTAGAGCTCACTGTAAATCTTGAAGATGGAAGTTCCCCAAAGCAAACAACTGAGATTACAGAAGGAGATAATGCACAAGCCCCATAATAGAATCAGCCATTGATTGAATGTGCTTTGAAAGAAAACAGCACAACTAAATCATGTTTATCCTTCAGTATTCCCTTTGCACACACAGTCACACTCTTCATGGTGTTCCAAGGGTATATCTGTCAATGATTTATGCAATCCCCGGACGCCAATCCTTGGCTTCAACTGAAGAACCTGAAGAAGAAGAAGCCAAGCATCAAGAAAATAGCAAATGCTTCTTCACTGACCTAGACTATGAGCTAGACTGCACTGGAAACACATTGGATGACAGGAAACCTATTAAAAGAAATAGGCTTTCCTCAGCTGAGTTTCTTCATTTATTCCACCCTCTAATAATTATCTTTGCTTTTACCTCAAGCCCTTTACAAAATTGATTAAAACATGAACAGATACTTGCTTTTATCTTGTAGTTTCATGTGTCTACTTAATTTTATTTAGGGGCTAATAGTATACTTAACCAAATAGAATTATTAGATAATCCTATAATAAATAATCTTAGCTGTAGATTTGTAACAATGGAAAGAGACAGATATCTGCTCCTTCATAAAGTTCACATCTACCACCAGAGAAAGCTGAACAAGAAGGTGTGGTTGTGATGTGTCTGAACTGCCCCAGTAAACAAATACCTCAGGAATGACTTAATAGTTCCACAGAAAAATATTTTAACAAGAAAGACATTACTTTTTTATGTAACACCTCATTAAAATGGTAAAAAAATATTTACTATAACTGCAATACATCAAATTTTACAATATTTGTATTAGCAAATTCCTATAGTAAAAATAAAATCCTTAACTGGCTTTCAGTATTTCCAAACATGCAAATCTAAAAAAAGCACGTACCTCATGGTATTTTTTGGTGACTTTTGTTGGTACACATTGGCACTCATTGCAACTCTGATGACAACAGGCACAGTTTCCACCACAACGTTTAACCAGAAGACACAATGGCCAGAAGATGGTGTCAGTTCGCTTCAGCTCCTCCCTCAGTGACACTGAGAAGTTGCGAGGAGTGCAACTGTACAACCGCACCTCCTCCTTTAGGAGGTTGAGATCGACCACTGCACAAAGAGAAACAAACTGGTGGTTTTCTGATTCATAATCCAACTTCATTGGCGGTAAAGCAACTTCAGCAGTGTAGAACCCTTGAGGAAAGTCCATTTTTGTGCAGGTGGCACAGTTTCAGCACACAAGTATAATACTGCCATTATATGACTACCATGACACCTAAATGGAATTATCGTTGTATAGGAGTATTCACCAATTATTTTATAACTCTAGCAGAGTTGGTTAAAATTAAACAAAGCAAGGTTCAGCTACTATGTTCCAATAAATGTTTTATCAAATTCAATCCTAATGGAGTTCCCTTTGTTCACTCTCCTACTCTCAGCTCTAGTGTTGCTATTCTATATTAATTTTGTATTGGTGAAACACACATGGCAATCAAGCATCCTACAAACCTCCAAACACATTTTTAATTCATTTGAACAACTACTAGTGTGTGTATCTATATAACTATTTGTAGTTTTTCCCCCTCCTCTGTCACAGCAGCATATATATAAATTTCTGTTGCTTCTCTAGGTCTCTTTTTCACTTGATGTGTCTTAAAGAAAACACAGCTCCTCCTTGTAAGTACCTAACTTGAAGTGCAAGTTAAAGATATTAATATTTGGCATTAGTTTCCCTATAAACTGGTTCCATTGTATCACACTAAAGTTTCACTATTCCAAGGGTTGAACAGCAAGCTCATTAAAAGATCTGAAACAGGGCAAGCTCCTTTAGGTTCACCTTATCTGCATAGCCAAAGAAATAACAGGCCTTACAAGAGGCAGTTAAGACTGAAAAAAATGGGATTGGTTTAGTTAAAAAAATAATAAATTTTTTACTTTGGTGGAAAGCAATGTAATTTCATTTATTTCAGAAAAGCCGGACTAGAACAATAACATCTGGGATCTTTTGTCTGCACTGTTTCTCTCCAAACCTACCACCACTAAGGAACAGAATTAATATCTAATTCACAGGGGTGCTCTACCTGGGAAAAAAAGAAAAAGAAAACTCTATGATAATATGGCTACTGAGATGACTGAGACAGAGGTCTTGAACAAAGCAGCAAAGAGCTTTAAACCAACCGTTTTTTACCTAAATCAAGAAGAAACTAGTGGAAAAAAAAATCCCAGGGCATTGATATCACTTGACAAATACTTTGCACATATTGCTAGCAGTTTGTAAATAAACAGATATAAAGTTAAGCTAAAATATGTTCCTCATCTGAATTGCCATCTAGAGAAACACTGTTTTTTCCCTCTACTGACTATATGAAGAGCCTCTAGAGGTCACCAAGGAGAACTTCAGCCTATCAAGGCAAGATAATACCTCTCAATTCTACTTAAACGTGTAAGAAATCAAGAGAATTCAGAACTGCATTTCTCTAGTAGAAACGGTCACTAGTACTGTCCCGGGAGCAGATCTCTGTGCAGCAATTTCATTCCCTGTTTCTTCAAACATTTCTTTTGCATACCACATCCATATACTGGTATCCACGAGTAAGGGTTTATCGTTGTGAAAGGTCAGTTAAACACACTGAAGCCTTTTCTCTGCTTGCACTTACAGTGAATGCCAAGCTGGGGCACTTCATTCCAACACTATCAGGTTAACATAGGCTCCTAAATAAATAATCTGATTTTTAAAAGCAAGGAGTGTGTAACAACTCCAATAAAGTTACTGATAGGACACCAGCCTGCCTCCCACACTGTAAGAGCATTCCTTGGAGAAAGCTGAGAAGGGAGCAGATGAAAAGAGAGACAAAACTTCCGAGGGAGAGACTCACTGTGAGAAATTAGAAATGATTTAAGCTCCTCTGATCAGCTATTAGCTCTAGGCTGAGTCATTTAGAGGGTGGACATGTCTACCTCCATTAATCAAGGACTGTGGATAGGAATGGCGTACTTCTTTCTCCCGTTATGTTTTCAAACATATAAGTGAACTGTCTGAATGAGGATAAAATGCCTAAAATACAATGAGAGGAATGCTAGTTCTGCTGATACTTTTTATCGGTAGATTTCTACGGAGACTGACATTCTTGGCACAATCAATTTCAAGAAGCTGAACTTATGCCTCCTAACACAATTGCTGCTCAGCCCTTCATCATGAGAAACTGAAAACGGAAGCTGGGCCCTGATGCCTCTTCCAGCAGGCCCACCAACAGGCGGGAGATGCCTGTACAGTGTTGTGCTTCTCCATTACCTCTTGCCTACTGGCAGCAGCTGAGGAATGCATCTGTTTCCTGGTACTAGCTGTAGTTACAACATAGAGGAAAGGGCGATGCACTAAAATGAGCAGCAAGTGTATTGTACATTTCATCACAAAATTGGAATGAATTTGAACTGAACCCCTCAGACCTGCAGACCCCAATTTTAAAAAGGTTCTTTGGAAGAACATGCAATCAGCTCTCGGCAGATAGATCTCAGTGTACCTCACTGTCACAACAAGCTTCAGGAGAGATGAAAAATGTCATGTTTGGTTTTCATGCTTTACAATGTACTAAGGTATATTGCCATTATACCTCACAATGAACCCTTGCCCTACCTTATGTAATCCAATTTCATTAAAAGGTCTGTGGCAAATTTATCTAGTGCTTATATAATCACTTCTTTGAAGTGTGTGAATGAAGCTGTTATTTTTTCAAAGAGTATCTGTCTGTCCAGAATTTATTTTAACACACTGTGGGCACAAAGCTAGATGAGAGAATGTATATATTCCTTTAAAAGTGTTTACTTTACCACAATAAAAGGTTATGTGGATTTCCCAAGTGCACTGAGTTACAGTACCTGTTATAATGTGAACATTTAAACACTCCTTCAACTTGGCTTCCACCCATGGATCATGTTTGACACAACAAAGTTCTTTTGTCTAGCACTAGCTCAGGAGGAATGGAAGGCTCTGCAGTAGCACATGAATAGCAAACACTAAAATAAAAATAAGGGGAGAAGGAAAAAAAAAAAGGGGAAGAAAAAAATGTAGATGCAGGTAGGTCTACAGTAAAGTCTGTTTCAAAAGTGTGCCTTCACTGGCACGTACAAGTGAAGTAATCCATGCCCACACCAGCCTGAAAGTAACTGTGCTCTGCAACTGGCAATGCAACTGTCTGGCATCTTCTGGGATGCATATCCAGTACCACGGGGAACCCTCTTTCCCAAAATATTTTTCCAGCTGGATGTTGCTCTCATAGTCAACAAAATAAATTAAATTCTGGTTGAGGCACTTGTGTGTGGGCACAGATAGCAGCAGAATGGTTTTCATTCCTAAGCACTTGGAGATGTTCCTGGGAATGTAAGTTTCACAATGGCTCCTACAATAGGATAGGGCTGTTACAAAACTCCAAATGAGAAGTTAAAAAAAAATCCCTCACATAACTGTACAAGAAAAATATCTGCTAAGGACTATAGTTGGATTGTGACTCTCTTCTTAAGCAGATTTCAGAATATGGTTTAATGATTATGCATAGATTTCTGTGGGAAGCGATGGGATAATTTTTTTGCACAGCAATATGTATTTTATTTTTAAGTATGTTTAATATTATAAAAGAATTTAGGACTATATTTAGACATCAAAGCCTCTGAACTTTGTGTTTCTTCTTTCCTGGCTAGAAGTTTTTGGAAGCATTTTATCCAGAGAAAACATCAGACACACAAGTTCTGTGGAATTTAGGTTGTCTAAATATAGTCTTTTTCACATGAATTATACAGTAGGAGTAGAGGACAATACTCCTCTCTACATAAAGTAACATACACTTTTAACTACATTTTCATTTAATCTAGATGTAAATTGATGTTTGTCTATGAAAGTAGGACAGTAATTTAACTTTTACACTGAAATATTGCGAAAATAAAACTGAATAATTAGAGAATCAAAGAGTTTGCAACAACCAAAGACTTCAGGGCATGCACTTCTCCCAAACATTTCTTAAAAGGGTTTTTAAATACAGCAAACGTGCTACTAGAGGGAATAACATTAAAAAATCAAGGTTAAAAAAAAAAAAAAGGGAAAAAGAAACGTTTTGCTTTCCCTATCTACCGAATAGACCTAACAGTTAATACTATGTCATCTCAACTGGACATATTTTCCGCCTCAGGCTATTACATTACACAGTTGGTAATGCAGCCTGAGGGTGGTCTCTTAAAGATATATGTAGCAATGCCATGATATGTTTATTCAGTGGAAAAATCTATTTCAGCATCTAATTAGAAGGCTTTAAAAGATTTACTCTGATAGTTTCTTTCTAAGATATGTCTTGCAGGGAGTTGCTTTTGTCTATAGAGATGTTATCCAACACTTGCATTTTAGCTTATGTAAGGTTTCACAAATTACATTTTGTTTTCTCCCACTTAATGTATGCTTATGGCATAAATTTGGCAAATACTGAATCTCTTTAATTAGGAAAGTGTTAAATGACTATCTGAAATGCATGGTCCATTGTTGAAAGCAGTTAAAGAGATTTCCTCCTCTTTGATTTTTGATTTAGTTGATGTGTGTGTAGCTGTAGCAAAACAGGTAGGGTAGAAGGGTTGATTTTTAGGCTCTGATCCAAGAATTAGCTGTCAAAAACTTAAATTTGAGTTATGAAATGTTTTACTTCCTCCCTTTACTTTCTGATCAGATGACAATCTAGTTTACGTTTGTCTACTGAGGAGTCTATTCACTTATGCTCATATGTTTTCATTTTCATGCTGTATGGTGGGCAAGAAAGGAGGTGTTGCCTGCATGCTATCCATCCACATGGAATCCATAAACATGAAATAGTGGGCAGCATCTGGATGATATGTAGTAGAAAATTCCTAAATGTTAAATGTAGATGGAAGAAAACAATTTGCTGAACAAGAAATCGTTCCACCAGTCTTGAAATACGTAATCTGCTTTACATCTGATAAAGCTGAAAACCGCGTGATCAAACTGGACATGGACACAGGGATTTCATAAGGTATCAGGGAAGAGAAACATTTAGATAATTATTCTCAATTCATATGGTGTAGAGACTGGAACAATTCTAAGCAAATAATCCAATTGTTCACGTGATAAAGTAAGAAATTACCTACCCCAAACAAAAATTAAGGGTTTTGCCCTCCATAAAAAAAAGAAACCCACAAAGTTCGATTATGTCACCCAACCAGATGCCCTGCTACTTTATGGAAATAAAGATTTCCCAGGCTCCTTATAGGAAATTACCCTGTTTGTTTCTTTTTTTTTTCTCCCTCTTTGTTACTTTTTCCTGCTAAATTCCTTTAAGTTTTGACTTTAGTTGTAGTCCTTTTTCAGATAATATAATGGTGAGAATAACTAACAATGACGATCTCGGCTATATTTCTAACAAATTCCTTTCTTGGAACCAAAACTGAAGGCAAAGAATGGTCTTAATCACTGCTCCTTTGTTAAGAAAACACACCCATAGGAAGCTGCAAGGCCTGACAGAAGAGTAATTTACCTCTTGACTTCCTCCCATGAATATATGCCTTTCCAAGAAGTTGCCACGTTGGCCTGTACAGATCTTCCAAATCCAGTTGCCACCGATCTGGTTCAAGGTACCGGATAAGTTCTTCCACAGTACTAAATCCAGCAACGGCATTATTTAATACTTCTAACGGTAAAGCTGACGGGGGTAGCAATGATGGGCTAGGTGCTTCTGTGTGGTGCTGCAATCAAAGCCAAGAGAAGAGTACCAGTCAGAGGGTTAATGGACCTGCTTTGATGAAGTTACACAGCTGGGAAAGTTTACAAGTGGCTAGCTTGTTTCCAATGTGCAGTTTACCTAAAAAGACAAATGACAAGAGTCAAAAAGTACCTAATTATTCTTCAGTGATAAGTGTAAACAAACTTTCAATACATAGTTTTGCCACTTCTTACATTTTTAGCCTTGAAGATGGCATGCCACTATACCTGTTCTTTGAAGAAGTTCACCAAGGGAAGGACAAGATTTTAGAAACAGAACAGAGAGTGATTTGAAAATATGATCCCATTACAGGCAGTTACAGTAACCCTCTAGAAATCTGAGGAAATACGCATTTCACATGCTGCCTCCCCGATGAAACTTACCCACCATCTTTGTCTTCTTGTCTTTCAATATAAAATATGAACATACCGTAATACAAAGATACCAAATATTCCCACTCCCATCTATAGATGAAAAAAAGCACCAGTTGTTTCATACAGTACTAAGAATTATGTTTCTGGTTAAACAATAATTAAGAGAGTAATAACAACATCTAGCATTACCATAGTTATTTCTCCCTTAATGAAAAAAAATGTTCCCAAGGATACCAAAAGTACTTCAGTGCTGAAACTGAGTACTGAAAAATCTAAGTACTTTCCCGCAGCACAAATCTCACTGACAGACTCACTGGATCAGGGATACTCAGTGACAGACAATTCAAGCGAAGTGAGACTTCTAATTTTGCTCACTCTACAATCTGTTTAAAGATCGTGCACTGATCCGTATTTTGAAAAGAATAAAAGAAGGCGGGAAGAGAAGGCTAAGCAGGAAGCTGCTACTGTACCACCACAAGCTTCTTCAGACTGTTATACAGGCAGACATCACTACAGATATCATGTCCACAGTACTACGCGAGAGCATTTTATCTGGACCATGTACGAAGGATGAAGAAAGATTTGAACGTACTGCTGATTTAGCGGATGGGAAGGACGAGAAATCTTGAACTTACATGCGCAGTGCTACATGTGCCTCTGCTTTCAAATGTAGTCCATATAAGATTTAGGGAAAATTTATTCACTGTCAGTACTGTCAGGTTATGTAAAAGGTTGCCCAGGGAGGTGGCACAGTATCCATTACTGAAGGCTTTCAATACCTGACTGGACAAAGCCCTGAGCAATGATCTGACCTCAGAACTGACCCTACCCTGAGCAGTGGGTTACAGTACAGACCTCCTGAGGTCCCTTGCTGAATTTTCCTACAACAATCCTACACCGTAATATTAAGAAAGAAGGACTGAATGTCCCTCCATTAAGTGAACTAACATGCTTCTTGTCCCTTCCCTGTGCAGTGCCTGTCAGTACTGCAGAACATATACATATATATATTTATTAATGTGCATTTATATATTTCAAAATCCTCACACCACTTAGTTTCAACATGGCACTCTCAGTACTCTAATGTGATGTGTACACATACAATGTAATGTGTATGCATACAATTTTTTCCATCTATAATGTCAATTGATTAGAGTACATGTTGAAACTAGAGTGATGTGAGGATTTTTAAATATATAAATAATCCTTGCAACACTACGTACTAAACAGCAGTTTTCTAAAATACATATGCCTGTGATAGCTGTATTTCATAACAATAATTATGTTTTCCTTTCTGTGCTCTCAGTTCTATTAAATATGCATTTTTGGTTTCAGCTAAATGTGTGGTTGAAAGGGCCACAAATGGCAGTAACCATCATGCCCTTCTGGGTTTTTCTCTCTGCATCTTCAATAAATGCAGTCACTAGAGTGATTTGTGCTGCTTTTTAACTGGGAGTCTTGCAAAGATAATACAAAAAATAGATCTAGTGTGCTGCTACTATTAACTTTACCATATTTTCATCTTGCTATTCTAGCACCATTTCCAATAGGGTGAGTGAAGTAGTTGCTTCCCATTCTGGATGAATGTGCATTTCAAAAAGTTAAACTATTCCTTTTCCTCTTCTCTCCACTGCCCACATTAAAAAAAATAACATGTTGATCCATGTATTAGGTTATGATAATAAAGCAACAGATTCTGGCCTATAATTTAAATATTTGCTCTCAGCAAAACATGCTACTCAGCAAGTTTCAAAATAGTGCTGTGACATTATAATTCAGAAGGTCAAAAAAATAAATATTCCAAAACTTTTCTTCCTGTTTTTCTCCACGATGATCTATTTGTAACAGTCACATTTCCTGGTTCCAACATGTAGGGTTTTGCTAAGGCAAAAAACAAAATAAGGATCAAATGGAGAAGAAGAAGAAAAAAAAAAACCCTGTTTCCAGCTGAAGAGTTTACTTCAGTGTCTCATTCCTACTGGGATTTTTTTTTTGCCAATGAAATAGATGGATTCCAGATGAAAATTCATTGGCGATGAATCTATTTCCACATTTACATCTTATAACACACACACTTAGCAATACATGTACAGGAACTAACCCATCGATTTATCTTATTCTGGATTCAGCAGGCATTTGCCCCAGTTAAAATGTTATGGGGGTATGGTGAGTCATTGCGCTAAACAGTTACAAAATTAAAGTTGTCATCACTTTCTAATCATTCTCACAGCAAATCAAAACATAAAGAAAAAGTAATTAAATCAGCAAAATTGCACACTTTTGAAGATGAACATTTTAGAATAAAGTATTTAAAATTCCCAATAATCTCTTAATTTAGTCAATTTAAATGACAGTTAAAATGTACCAAAGATTAAAGATAATTGATATCATAAAGCTATAAATGCTGTAATTTATATTTATAACATAATAACATTTATTAAATCTCAATTCAGTAAATTCTTCTATATAAATGTTAATTCAAATTATACTCTGCATTGCTTTTACTTGTTAATAGGTACTACTTATTATAATTTAAGCCTTTTGGACAGAATGTCCAGGGCAGCATAAATGGTACTCCTTCCTTTGACCTAAATGACATCTTGGAATTTTATACAATTTATAATTTCACTTGGCTTTCTCAAAGGTATTTTTGTGTTCTATAGGCAATGTTTACACCTGCAGTAAGGTTTTACTCTCAGAGAAGACAACAAGAGAAATAACTTAATGCAAGAAATCAAAACTCAACTTCATTGATGGGACACAGCTTTTAGAACAAGCAAACACAAAACTTCAGCATAACTCCGAAATGTAGCAACTTCAAAATGCCGAAATGCTCCTTAAATGGAGCTTTCCCTCACTTTATAGCAAGTCCATCACTTCTGTTTTAGTTCTTTGGAACTATAATACTATACTATAAAATTATAGTTCTTTGGATGGAGACCGCCTACTGGGAAGTGATGTTCTCCAAGCTTTCCTACAATATATACTAATCGACAGTAAAGACTTTTTCTGCCCTAGCAGCACATCCTTCATTAATACAATGTTTCAGGCTTGAGACCACCTTTTTTATTTTTTTTGCCTGAGCACAAATAATTTCTGTCAAGACAGATTTGAAAAATACGTCAACAAGTTCTGTATTTTAATGTGATTCCTCTAGTAAACAAAATACTTTATGGTTTTTGCTTTGGCACCCAAGAAATAATTTCCATTTACTTTAATAAGAATAAACATATTTAAAACCAAGATAGAGCCAAACAGTTGAACCTTTACGGTTAGTTATTATGATGCAGGATGAAAACCAGAGCAGAAAACATTGGTCTTCTGCTGTTCTGCAGAACAGCCAAGAATGACAATTAGTGTTGGAAAAAACACAATTCTCATTAGGTCTGTTTATATTGTATTTCTGTATGTGTACTTCACTCAGTCAAAACAAATACCTTATAAAAATCCCTTAAGGTCTTTACAAGCATAAAAGACAGGCAAATAGACCAAACTTAGGCAACAGTTTAAGATACAGATTTGGAAAAAAGGAAGGAAATAATATAGAGACCAGCTTCACAAAACTATTGAGCCCTGAAGATTCGACATAAGAACAGTACTCCAGAAGAAACTTAGAGAGTAAAATGCATTTTAGGGTGTTCATGGTGTTAGTTGTGCCCTACGAAAGGAATCAAAGCTACTCCATCTAGCCTGCTTCTCAAAGGGAAAAGGGTAGGACACTCTTCCACGTAGAATAAGAAGGTGACTATCAGTGAAGCAGTAAATCTGAACAAAACCTGCAACAAATGAATTTGAAGTTACCTAGTTGAAGCTGAAACCTAAACGATGATTTAGTATGTAGCCTAACTTGAAGATTTGTGATTAATTTCTTGTTCTGACACATACTTTCTGTGTGATCCTGAGCATAGTGTTTAGGCCACAGCTTCAGGGTGTAAAGCATCCAGCAGTAGCATCTCCTTGCTATGCCAGCACAACTGTGTATGTGGCTGCACCATAAACAAGAAGTACTGTTTCTGACAAAGAATATTTCCCATTTCCCTTTTTCTTGCAATCTTAATTCACAGTACAGGCCTCCAACAGCTAAAGCCATCACAACCAAAATCACTGAAGCCACTAACACAAACATTTTTAGATTCACTCTGGTGCCAGGAATTTCATAGCAGGCAGGCTTGTATCACAGCCTTATCAAATCTGTAAAATGAGCATAAAGGCAATTCCTTGATCTCGCAAGTTCTGTGAGAGAATGAACACAATAAACATTTCTTAGACGCTCATTATTGGTTTATTTGAAGAACCAATACGTATTTTAGGTATATCAAGGGTAAAACTTTGGATATGAGACTGTATGGTATAACCTTTCCCATTCTGTCACTATCCATCTGTTGTTCCCTTGCAATGAACCTGCTCCAAGCATAAACAACTCGAAACAAAACAGCACTCATCTACAATCTACACAAGATCAGGTCTCAAGCACCATGACTATGTAAGCAAAGCCTTCGTTTTGCTCCTGTCTCATAGGATAGGACTGTCAAGGCACTGACATTACCCTCTTCCAGTTAAAGGAGAGGCAAGAAGTAATTTTGTTAGTTTGCTGCAGCCAGGAGTGAGG